TTTTTTTTTTTATTCTGGGATTTATTTACCTTCTATAATTGAAACATTGTTGCCGTCACTAGCGCTCCCAGCTCTGAGGCCGCGGCTGGCTTAAAGCAGGTATCTGGGGTTTGTTTAACTTCTATAATTGAAACATTGTTGCTTTCGGGCTCAGAGCCTGGCCGCGGCAGGCCGGGAACCTTGGCTTCCTCCATCACTGTAGCAAGCAAGCCTCATGTTTGCTTCAGCTGCGTGGCTGCCGGCCGCCATCATTGTTGGCAGTTAATTTGCATATCGCCCTGATTAGCCCATGGGAAGCCTAGCGGAGGTAGGGTTAATTGCCCTTTTTGTCTTTTATTAGATAGGATGTTATCCCAATAAATTTAATTTTAAAAATAAAATTTAAAAAATAATGAAAGAGGGAAAAGTAAATCTAGCCTGGGGAAATACAGGGTGGTGGTGAGGTGGGCACAGTCTTGGTTTAGGCAGCTTCCTTGCTCTCCTCCTGGCCTTGAGACCAGTGCTTCTCAAGCTATAACATGCATGTCAATACTTCTGGGGATCTTCTGGAAATGCAGTTTCTGACTGAGCGCTGTGCTAGTGGGTTCTGAGTGTTTGTATTCTTAATGAGCTCTCAGGTGGTATTGATTCTATGTCTTTGGACAAGGCTTCAGGGTACTTTAAGGATCTCTGTGCTTGCAAAACACAATTTAAATATCATTATTTTAAAATTTTAAACTTTTTGTCCATCCATATTGTGCCTGTATATTTTTTTATAAAACATCTGCAGTTATTTACTAACTTGGTTGCCAAATATCACTGCTCTTTATATACTGTTTTTTTTTTTTTTAGGAATTTTTTTTTTAAATATATTTTATTGATTTTTTACAGAGAGGAAGGGAGAGGGATAGAGAGCTAGAAACATCGATGAGAGAGAAACATCGATCAGCTGCCTCCTGCACGCCCCCCAGTGGGGATGTGCCCACAACCAAGGTACATGCCCTTGACCGGAATCGAACCCGGGACCCTTGAGTCCGCAGGCCGACGCCAAACCGGTTCGGCTATATACTGTTTTTATATTTTTTCGTTATCACATGCCTTGGCTATAGTAAGCAATCAGTGGTATTGGATGAATTTCCAAACTATGATTTTATAACTTACTGTTTGAAAAAGGTGATTATGAGTCTAGCATTTAAAAAAAAAATACTAAAAGTCAGTTAAACAAATAACTTAGTAAAATAATTCATTTCTTAGTCACAGATTGATTTCTAGTAAGGGGTAGCCCTTAAAGCTATAGTCAATTATTTGGCAACAGGAAGTGAAATGAAAAAACTTGTTCTTATTCCCCTTTTTACATTATGTAATCACAAATCAAAGTCCCAAATTAATAATTTCAGATGGAATTTCTTTGTGACAGCTAACTGTCTTACTATTCTTGGAGATCTTTTCAACATGATTGATATAGATAGACATTGTGTTGAAGTTAAACATAATGGGAAAGCTGTCAATGTGATTTTTAAAAAATGGATACATTAAACTCCAGGCAGACTTGAATACTGCATGTAGAAGAGAATCTGATTAATAAACGCTTTGTTTCTATTTTATGAATATGTAAAATTAAAAAATAAATAAAAAGGAAAGTTGTGTTTTCTTTCAGTGCTGATTCCCCTTTGCTGTGGATAAGGATAGACCCAGATATGTCAGTCCTGAGGAAAGTAGAATTTGAGCAAGCGGATTTCATGTGGCAGTACCAGCTCCGCTACGAGAGGGATGTGGTTGCACAGCAAGAGTCCATCTTGGCCTTGGAAAAGTTCCCCACACCAGCATCGCGGCTTGCCCTCACTGACATTCTAGAACAAGAGCAGTGTTTCTACCGAGTAAGAATGTCAGCTTGCTTCTGCCTTGCAAAGGTGAGATTACATACAATAGAAAGAAAACAAGATTGAATACTGCATATTAAAAAAAATAGAACTCTGCCCTGGCCAGTGTGGATCAGTGGTTGGTGTGTACATAAGAATTTGGGGGGTAAGTTTGTATATTTTCTTAGAAATGATAATGGAAGGCTAAAATGTATTAAATTTCTAAGAATTGAAGTTATTAAAAACTAATCCAATTGCATTGCTAACTTTTGAAAAGCTGTTTTATTTATTTAAAAATATGTTTGCTGTGGTGATGGAAATTACTTTGTTTTCTAATTATTTGCAGATTGCAAATTCAATGGTGAGCACATGGACAGGACCACCAGCCATGAAGTCACTCTTTACTAGAATGTTTTGTTGTAAAACTTGTCCAAACATTGTGAAAACAAACAACTTTATGAGCTTTCAAAGTTATTTTCTACAAAAGGTACAGTTTACTTTCCAAATTTCCTATGATTGTTTTATGCCACTATCTGTATATCTCAGTTTAACTTGGAGACTATTCAAATAATAGATGTGTTTACTTTATTCTAAAAGGTTTTGCCTTTGTTCTTTTTCTTTCTAAAATTTTTTCCAAAATTTTAATTAAGTGATTGCTCATTGATTTTATGAGCGGTGGAAAGTAACTCACAATCCACATTAATACTAAAATTAAATAGAAATGGTTAGTTTGAATTTGGGGCTGGTTACGTTGTGAATGGAGGAATGGGTAAGCCCTAGGATGTGGACAGTATATCTGAGTAAGAGACAAGCAGCACACCACACTAGCGTCAGTCCCAGCCCTGTTACTCACTGACAGTTTGTCTGTGGACAAGTTCCTTAACCCTCTAAGCCTCAGTCTACTCAATTGTAAAATTTATCTTTTTTAGAATTAATTAAGATCAAGCATGTGAAATGTTTTAGATTATATTTATCACACAGTAAGTCTTTTATAAATGGTAATTTAGAAAGTGGGGATGTGATGGAGTCACTGTTTTGGGAGGGAATGTGAGGATGGCAGGGTGGTCAACATTTGGGCAATTTGGAAATCATTTGTAAAATTTTTTGAGTAATTTAATAATGAAGGCAGAGATTAGATGAACTAGATTGGACTAGAAGGAAAAGTGAAGTTGAAATAGAAAAATCTTTCTTGGTTTGGGGGTGAAGAGTATGAGAATGGAGACATGTTGAGGATAAAGCAGGCCTGAGTAAAGGACATTATGGGTTTGGTTTATTTTGGATAGAGGGATGAAATATTCAGTGGGAGCCAGTAAATGTTAGAGAGATGGAGAGAATTCTGAAGGTGTTAAGGTGTGGGACACAGTTGGGAGGTTAATTTAAGAAAAGGTAAGAAGCTCCCTCTTTTCTGAGACAGGTGGAAAGCAGATTAAAAGTAAGTGAAATGAGCCAGGCCGGTGTGGTTCAGTGGTTAATTGCCAACCATGAATTAAGGAGTCACGGTTCGATTCCCTGTCTGGCTCATTCCCTAGTAGGGGATGTGCAGGAGGTAGCCGATCAATGATTTTCATCATTGATGTTTCTATCTCTCTCTCCCTCCCTCTGCCTGTTTCTGAAATAAAAAACATATCTTTAAAAAATATTTTTTAAAAAGTATGTGAAATGATAGCTGTTGAAGGAGATGTTAAGCATTATATATGATAGAGGGAAAAGTAAAAGGATTACTTGGAAACATTGAGAGACCTGCTAAGAGTGGAAGTCATAATATATTATTTACAGTGAATTTCATCAGTAAAACAGATTCAGGACAGTTTGGGGAAAGCCTATAGTGGTGTGATCAGAGAAGTCGGTGGCATCCAGTTATTTTATTTTATTATTGATTTATTTATTTTTACTGTGTGAGTCAGGCTTCCACCTTCTTAGAAAAGTTGCCTGTGAAAATTTGGGAAGGAGAATGTTAGGCTGGATTTCAGATAATTTACCTTTTTTCCTTAAGCTGAGTTGGGGTGGTATTGGAGAATCAATGTCTGTCTTCTCAGACTGATGATTGAAAAGTATGCCTCAGTCACTATTTCATTTAATCCTGAAAATAGTTGTGTGGTTGTGAGGCTTTTTAGTAAGCAACTCGCTAAAATAACCCATCTTAGTAGGCAGTAGAGTAGGAGTTGAACAATGGTTTATCTAATGTTAAAACCCATACCTTTTCGACTGTAAAACCCAGAGCTGAATATATCATTTACATGACGTATATTTCCTCTGACAAATGAAGACAGAGGCATATGGGCTAGAGAGTGCATCCAGTTACTCAGCTCCCTTGGTTTCCTGCTCAGCTCTTTTGTTAGAATGTTTGGCACATGTTCTTAGTGGGAAGGGCTGGGAGTTACGGGGGTTTAGGCTCCATCCAGAAACCTGTGTCTGCACTAAAATAGCCCCTTTTTAACATGCACTGAATTCAATGAATTATAATAATGAATTGAGTTATAATACTTAAAAATATTATTTTTTGTAGACTATGCCAGTTGCAATGGCTCTATTGAGAGATGTTCACAACCTTTGTCCCAAAGAAGTCTTAACATTTATTTTAGACTTAATCAAGTACAATGACAACAGAAAAAATAAGGTAAGAAATCTTAATGATTATTATAAAACTATCCAGTGATATTTTGTTTTTAAAGAAATATTTAGACTGTGAAATCATTGTTGACTCCCTGGTACTTGAAATTTCTAGCATTAGAAGCATGTAAACATGATTTATTATATAACCAGTGGATGAAAACCAAGATTAGTTGGTTTTTAAATGTTTCTCATAACTGTTGTAATGTGGAGATAGTAGTGCCTCAAATTTTGGAGAGCCATTTAAAACTTGTTTTGGTAAAGTCTGACAGCCCAACTTTATTTTTGCTCCTTTTTTATTTTACTAGAAAACAGTTTCCTTTTGGGATAATTTGTTCATTGATGAATTTGATTTTTTAAAAACCATCATGTGTGTTCATTTATTTAGCAAAAAGCTATTGGATGCCATGGTTCAAGTTATTTCACCTTAGTTGTTACCAGATAATCTAGCTTGTCCAATTAGGATTCTAGTATCTGTGAGAATTGGATGTGGTCTGAGGGATAAATTTTTTTTTATTATTATTATTTTTAAATATATTTTATTGATTTTTTACAGAGAGGAAGGGAGAGGGATAGAGAGTTAGAAACATCGATGAGAGAGAAACACCGATCAGCTGGGTCTGAGGGATAAATTTAAAGTCTTGGTTTTCGTACTTTTCCTACACCCCCCTCCTCATTTTTAATTTGTGGGTTCATTCTGTGATCTAAACACTTAAGTCAGAAATAGTGGTTATATAAATGGGCTTTGTGGGCAAAGTAGTTCCCAGAGGTAACAATGAAACTATAAAAATACTTGAAGAAAATAATCTGTAAATGGTTTGAAAACAAAACTTTTCCCATAGTGTACACTTGGTTCTGTTTGTTTGTTGTTGTGTGCCATATTCTTTTTTCTGCTCAGTATCTGAACATAGGACTCTTTAGAGACTCTGTTGTCATGTGTATACATGTGAGGTTCTGCCTCCACAATGTAAGTCAAGGGGGTAGGTATTCCTCTTCCGACCCTGGCAGTTTGTGGTAGAATTAACTCACTTGCTCCATGTTCAGATTCCCAGGCTAGAGTATCTGATTTCCTGAGTTTAAATCAAGTCACACCCAGATTGCCTTTCAATCAATTGTTTCTCTGGGAATTGACTGCGATATGGGTTTAGGAATTAGCTTTTTTTATGGTTTCCTCTTCCATTTTCTCTGTTTTTGCTAGAAACTCCTATTATTCCTGTGCTATGTCTTCTGCACCAACCCTCCAATTTCCTTATGCTTTCCTTCCTATTTTTTTCTCACTTTACTTCTGCTCAAAAACTTTAGTTTTTTAAAAAAACTTAATATTTCAGTTTAATTTTGATCCTGATTCTCTGCATATTTCTTTCTTTTTAAAATGTTTTACTATTAGGAGGCATCTCTTTGGTTATTTCTCAGACAGTATTAATGATAGTTTTGGATTTTTTTCCACCTGCATGTTTTTTCCCCCTTGAATACTCTATTTCCTTCAAGTTGCATTTTCCCCTTTGTTTGTCACGATTTTTGTCCAGTTTCTTCCCGCATCTCCCATTCCCCTTTCCCCCCCAAGAATAGTCAGTCCATTCCCTTTCTATGTCCCTGATTCATTATAATCACCAGTTCATTCTGTACATCAGATTATTTATTCACTTGGTTCTTAGATTCACTTGTTGATAGATGCATGTTTGTTGTTCACAATTTGTATCTTTACCTTTTTCTTCTTCCTCTTCTTAAAGGATACCTTTCAGCATTTCGTATAATACTGGTTTAGTGGTGATGAACTCCTTTAGCTTTTCCTTATCTGTGAAGCTCTTTATCTGACCTTCAATTCTGAATGATAGCTTTGCTGGATAAAGTAATCTTGGTTGTAGGTTCTTGGTATTCATCACTTTGAATATTTCTTGCCATTCCCTTCTGGCCTGCCAAGTTTCTGTTGAGAAATCAGCTGACAGTCGTATGGGTATTCCCTTGTAGGTAATTGAGTCTCTTTCTCTTGCTGCTTTTAAGATTCTCTCTTTGTCTTTTGCTCTTGGCATTTTAATTATGATGTGTCTTGGTGTGGTCCTCTTTGGATTCCTTTTGTTTGGGGTTCTCTGCGCTTCTTGGACCTGTAAGTCCATTTCTTTCACCAGGTGGGGGAAGTTTTCTGCCATTATTTCTTCAAATAGGTTTTCAATATCTTGCTGTCTCTCATCTTCTGGCACCCCTATTATTCTGATGTTGGTACGCTTGAAGCTGTCCCAGAGGCTCCTTACACTATCTTCGTATTTTCGGATTCTTTTTTCATTTTGCTTTTCCGGTTGGGTGTTTTTTGCTTCTTCGCATTTCAAATCTTTGACTTGATTCTTGCGCTCCTCTGGTCTGCTATTGGGTGTCTGTATAATATTCTTTATTTCAGTCCGTGTATGCTTAATTTCTAGTTGGTTCTTTATCATAGCATCGAGGGTCTCATTAGTTTTCGTGACTCTCTCCTCAAGTTTATTGACAGCTTCTAGCACATTTTTGCAAGCCCTCAAAATTGCGATTTTTAGCTCTATATCCTCCATTTCTGTCATGTTTTTTTGTCTCCGCATTTTTTATGCTTTCTTGGTGCACCCCCTAGTGGTCTTTGTGCGCAGTCTTGTTCTAGTTGAGCCTTGATTGTTGTAGTTAATACTAGAGGGATTTGACCACCAGGCCGACTGGCTGTGTGAATCAGCTGTGTCTGCCGCGGAAAACTTCTGTCCTCTGGGGAGGTGCTAATCTAGCCTTTGCCTGAGGCGATCCGGCAAATGGCTCTGCGCAGGGCTTGGGCGGGGCGGGCTCAACAGGGCGGGCGGAGGGAGCCGTTATGGTGCCCTCAGTCCTGTTCCCAGAGGCTCTGCTTCTCAGAACCCCCGGAACCGCTGCAAACCTCGGAGGGAAAGCTGCCTTCCAACTGATGCCAGACACTCCCGCTTCTCCCGTTTGGGTCCGAGTCCCCAGCGATTCGCCCGTATCTGGAGCTCAGAGTCTGAGACTCCCCCCTGACCGAAAACGACAACCGCGCTCTCAGCCACCAGCCCGCTTTGCGCGCGCACCTCCGCACCTGAGTATTTTCCACACTGCGCCTCCTCTGAGCCTCGGTGTGCTGTTATTTTTCCTTCTAGTTGAAGAGTCTCTCCTCAGCCAGCCTTCCTGTGGCTCTGGGTGATGTCCGTTCTGTCTTTTAGTTGTATTTTTGAAGTGGTTGTTTGCGGCAGCAATCTCCGGTGTTTACCTATGCCGCCATCTTGGTTTCTCCTTATCATAAAACCTTTCTGTTCTGGTCTTCTTTATGCTGATACTTTTCTGAAATATCTGGTGATCTTTGGTTATATGTTTATATGTGAGAGGAAAGCACTAAGTAGCTGATTTGAAGCTCTGTATTACCAGCAGGATTTATGGACTTTGGTCTTCCTTTTAGAGAAATCTGGCTAGGTTACTATAAGAGTGCCTTTCATATAGTAAGTATTTATTGAGTTAACTACTATATTACTAGTTAATGAATCTCACTTTTTTTTTCTATGTGTGACTCTATGCAAAACACAGAGTTGAGTACTTACCAATTTATGTTTTTAGATAAATTATGGTCTTATGTTGTAAATATTTTATTTTATTAATTTTTTAATAGAAGCGTGAATTTTATCTTTATATAATAATTTTTTTGGCTTAGTTTTCAGATAACTATTATCGTGCAGAAATGATTGATGCCCTTGCCAACTCTGTTACACCTGCAGTCAGTGTGAATAATGAAGTTCGAACTTTAGATAATTTAAATCCAGATGTGCGACTCATTCTTGAAGAAATCACCAGGTTTTTGAATATGGAAAAACTTCTTCCAAGTTATAGACACACCATCACTGTGAGGTATGATGATTCTTTACATTTTCTTTATTCTTTAAAGTTATTTGTTTTATAATTACAAGCAAATTTATTTTCATTATAGAAAACTGGGAAATACAGTAAAGATAAAGGAGAAGATTAAAATCCTGTGGTTCTATCATCCACAGATAAATTATTACTATACTGTTTTGGAGAGTAGCCTTCTAATTTTTTTCCTCTTGTAACAATATAAATGTTTAATTACTGGACGTATATTGTATATATAATTTTTGCATTCTGCTTATATCATAAATACTTTCTCATGTCATCAGGAATTCTTCAAAAGCATTATTTTTTATGTCTGCAAAATATTTTATCTCATTGGATATAATATAAGCATTTTTCTATTAGACTCTTTTAAGATGACTTTTTGCTTTTTTCAACTTTTTTGTATATAATTATCAAAAAGTTCTATTTCCTTAGGAGTTTGTTAAAAAAAGTTGATTCACTTTTTCAAACATTGTGAACAATTTAACCTTTCACATTTATTATTTATTAAACTATATAACTACTAAAACTTTTGGTGAAAATAATAAGTATATTAATACCTGAAATTGGATTTACAAATAAGTTTTAAAATTTATTTTCCTTTCATAGGATTTAGATGTTTAAAATTGTTATGATTGTTGCAAAAACTTAATGTTATGGCATTAAAAGGTGGATTCAAATCAGGTCAATTTTTTTAGTTCACTGTTACAGATAAATTTCTAATGCCTAGCAAACAAATTTGATTCAGACTACTTTAACAAAGAATTTCACTGTAAATACTATTTTCCTAGTTGTTTGAGAGCCATACGAGTGCTTCAGAAGAATGGTCATGTTCCGAGCAATCCAACTCTTTTTAAATCCTACGCAGAATATGGCCACTTTGTGGACATTAGGATAGCAGCTCTGGAAGCAGTTGTTGATTATACTAAAGGTAATGCTTTAGAAATATTTGTTCATATTATTTTAGAAAGAAATGTTTACTATTTAAAGTCAGTTGTAGATATTGTGGTTTTATTATTATGTAAAATACAATTTTAACTTTAAATTCTTAATTCACTGATTTTGTGGTCAATGTAGAATTCTTATAAGAATTAGTAAGTGAGGGAAAAGAATAAAATTATAAGTAGATATCTTTGGTCTTTCCAAGAAGTCAGTATACCATTCTTATAATTTTAATTATGAGTTATTTTAAGAAATAGGAGATTTTTGTAAATTTTTAACTATATAAGAAGGATTCAAGAAGACATCATGCTCCTATCTCAGATTTATATCTGAAAGTAGAGCAAGAGACATCATCAGGCGCTTCAGTACAGGGATTAAGCAAGGCTTTATAAAGTTGGGGGAAAATAAGGCCAAAAATAATTAAGAGAAAACAACAGAGTCAAAACATTTTCAGAAATACAGAGGAGAAATATAAAGAGATGAAATGTAAGTCATGAAGAAAGGAGCAGGTAGCAGAAAAGAAATAATCCAAGAAGTAATAGAATACTGTGATAGGGTGTCAGTGAAATTGAACTAAGCTATTGAGAGGTGTCTAAATGTGATCCATGAATTGAAGATCATTTGAAAATGCAAACTATTAGAAATAAAATTATTAAAATAAAGCTTTTCAAGTCATAATAGCAAAACTTGTTGAAAAGGTGAATGGGAATAGCTAATGAGTCATTTTATTGGTTAATATAGTTACAGCACTTTTCTTTGTAATTGCTTTTTATGTTATGTTGAAAAGTTAAGGCTGCTCTTTAGTCTTAGATGAAAGAAACCACTTGGGCAAAAACAGTTCACTATTTAAAAAAAATAATATAGTTGAGATACTATTGAGTATCAGACTTCTCTATAATTTGATTTATGCTTCTAGAAACACAATTTTATTTAAGTACATTCTGTCCATTTAGAGTTTAGGGCTCACTAAATTATAATTTAGGGCTAATTTAGGGCTCAATAAATTATAATTTGCTTTATGTTGTATTTGCCATTGATTTGAGCTATAATGAAAAATATACACTTGGTCCTGTTTTATGTTTTGGCTGCATAGAGCACAATACTTAGAAAATTTACAAAGTGGTCTATTACATGGGGAAAAAATGTAAAGAAGTTGTCTGCAGCTTTCAACTCTGATTTAAATCCAGCCAAGGAAGAGTCCTAATACTAAGTGTGAACTCCTTGCCTGTCACTTGTTTAATTGGTTATAATTGCAACAAATATATTTCTTTATTTTTGTTTTCAGTGGACAGGAGTTATGAAGAACTGCAGTGGCTCCTTAATATGATTCAGAATGACCCTGTACCCTATGTAAGGTTAGTTTTTGTGCTATAATTATTTTTTAAAGTCCTAAAGTAAATTGAATAATTTCAGAAGATTATACATGCAAAAGTCTTTGTTATTTTTGAAAACATAGGAATATGTTAGGCTTTTATCACGCTCTTTCTAAATTTATTAATTTGATGTGGCTTTGAGAAGATGTTTAAAAATACGTTGTTAATAAATAAAACTTATTTTATGTAACTTTACATATGATTTCTATTGTAACTTAAAGGAAAGCTTTTGTAGTGCATCTAGAGGATCCCTTATGTACCCAAAATTATGAAACCTCTACTGATTGGCTGAACTCACTTTAAAAATAATTAAGAGCAACTTTTTGGTATATTCCATTTGTTCTTTTCTATCTCATATAAAATCTTAATTTTTCTTAAGTAGGCGGGATTATTTGTGTTTTTGTATTTCCTTCTAATCTTCTGCTTTCTTTTGCAAAGTAGGATGTTTATGGTTTAATCAAATAGGATTTTTTTTTATCATTTTTGTCTTTCTTTGCACTTATTAAACACTTAAAATTTTTATTCATTTTAACATGATTTCATAAAATAAATTTTGGCAGCTGGAAAGTCACTTAGGTTGTAGCCATTCCAACTGGAAACAAGAACATAGAGCTAGATATTAATTGTGTGGCTCAACTTTACACACCAGTTGGCAGGTAGTTATTTTCTTCTAAAAAGTCAAACAAACTCTGCCTTCTAACCTCACTGAAATGTATCTGAGCATGAGGAATTCACATAAGACATTTCAGCTCTTTGGTTAAGTCACCTTATATTTAAGTGTTTTAAATGATGCTTATTACATAAGTCTTCTCTATACAAAGTTTTGCTGTTAATATTTTATAGTTCTTCATTTGTGATCTAAATTGTATTTTAAATAATTTGTCGTGTGATTGTTTTATAATAAGGATAAAGGTTACATGGACAAAAATCTTATAATCATTCATTCTAAAATACATATTTATATAAAAGATGATATGCAAAAGACCTGTCTATATCTCTTATCTGACAGAGCTCATGCATTTGAAAGTTTATATCCTACTGACAGCAAGTAGGAACAGAAAGTATAAATACAGAATAAATGAAACTTACCATGTATTCATTTGTTTTCAATACACATCAATAGAATTAACATTAAGATGCATATTTCTGCCCTAGCCGGTTTGCTCAGTGGATAGAGTATCAGCCTGCGGACTAAAAGGTCCTGGGTTTGATTCCAGTCAAGGGCACATGCCTGGGTTGCTGGTTTGATCCCCAGTAGAGGGCGTGCAGGAGGCAGCCGATCAATGATTCTCATCATTGATGTTTCTATCTCTCTCTCTCCCTCTCCATTCCTCTCTGAAATAAATAAAAATATTTTTTAAAAAAAGATTCATATTTCTGAGATCTTAGAATTGTGTTTTGAAAACCATTTTAAGCAGGTTTTGAATTCTGTAATATTTGAAATCTTTATATTTCTGAATTATATGCTGTACAGTCTAAATAATTGCTTTTGAAATACTGTTGTAGAACTGTTAATATCATTCAAATTTCAAGAGCTCTAATATTTATAATCTGAGATGAAAATCTCTTTAAGGATATATTTCATGATTATTTTTGACATGTTTTCTTTTTAATTCATGTGGTTCACTTAGAGCACCAATAGGCTTTACTTAAAATCATCTAACGCATAGTTTACTCATAGTTTAAAAAATTCAACATGTTGCCCAGCCAGGGTGGCTCAGTGGTTGAGCTTCGACCCATGAACCAAGAGGTTGCCAGTTTGATTCCCGGTCAGGGCATGTGCCAGGGTTGCTCGGTCCCCAGTAGAGGGCTTGCAGGAGGCAGATGATCAATGTTTCTCTGTCATCAATGTTTCTATCTCCCTACCCTCTTCCTTCCCCTCTCTCTAAAATCAATTTAAAAACTCAACACATCTTTAAAAATATTTAATGGCAGTAAGTGTTAACATAGCAGTTACTTTATGTGTACTTTTTGGTGTCTTGGGACATCTATCTCTATTTTTGTTTCTCTGCATTTTATACTTTCAATAGGAACTCAAGTCTTGTTTCCTTTGTTCCATCTTTTCTTTTTTTCTTTCTCTATTGAGGTATAATTGACAAATAACATAGTATCTATTAGTTATATTGCATTAGGTTAAGTAGGCTATTTTTAAAGATGACATGGAATTATCTTCTCATTTTGGAATCAAGCATGCATATGATCACAGTGTATCAATTCAAGGGACATACATCCTATGCTTTTTTTCATGGGAGTTTTTGAATATTTTTTTGGTTTTGGTTTGACTCCATTTCTATAGATAGTGATTGACAATGGTATTTGACTAGCCCACCAAAAAACTGTTCAATTGTCCAGGGAAATAATACGTTGTTTTGGCTGCTGTCAATATGACATAAACCCATGACTTTCTTAGGATTTGCTTCTGGTTTGTTCCAGATGTCTGAAACATATGGTGAGTTTTGATATTTAATCTCTGCAAAAATTAAACATAAGATTCTCATTGTCTTTCCTTAAATTTTATCTCCTTTTGAGTATTTAAAGAAAGGTTTAATTTTTAAAAGTAATACATATATTAATCATTACTGCTCTTTTAGTAATAATTTCAAAGTTATCCCCAGAGTACCCTTTACAATTCTTTGGCATGGCTTTAAAGAGTGCACTGATCTGCATAAATACCATAAAGTTTTATTTGTTCTCATAGCCTTTCAGTAGTCTTTCATATGGTCTTAAAATTTCAAAGCACAAAAGGATGTTAACAGTGAGAGTCCACATATTTCAGTTTTACAGACATAAAATTAAATCCGAAAGGGATTAAGTGACTTAACTACAACCTACTAGTCCATTTTTCTCCCATCTCTTTCTCAAGTACTAATCTGATTTGATATCTTTCCACCAACAATTAAATATAAAAATTCCCCAGGTTCACCACCTTTTTTAAAGTTTTGCTAGCATCAATAAAAAATATAACCTCAGTTTCTTTTTTCCTCCATTATATCCAAGCATGCCATTACTCTGAGATTTGAATTTCTCAGACCTCGTCATAGGCCTGGCTTTTATCCCTTCGCTAAATGTTAAATTACTGTCAGAGCCTCCTTGCTTCTTTTCTTTCTCTATCCTCTTTTTATGGTGTTTTTCAGAAGACTCCATATGTTCAGGTAAAAACTCCCAATAGCAGAGTATAACTGTTGCCATCTGTATGGATCTTTGTTATAACTGACTCTTCTAAATCTCAGCTTATTTTGAGGAAACGTTTTGCAATCTCCATATTTGAAATGCTTCTGCACATTTCCATGCTTGACAAAGAAACTATATTAACAAAGTTTATATTCATTTGTATTATCTCAAATGTAGACTTCTTGGCCTATATGTGATTTTTTTTGGTCCCATTTTAAGATTTTTATATTTTCTGATCAGTTCTTTCTTAAAACTTTTCTAAGGAGAGTAATACATTCATTTTAGAAGCAGGCAGGGAATGATTGGTTAAGAATACACAGAGTCAGGTTTTAGAAGATCTCATTGTACATTAAGGCAATTTTAGAAAGAAAACCCACCAGAATTTAGCGGGGGAAAAAAACAAAAAACAGTATAAAAGGTATATAGTAATATACACCTTTTGAAATGAAACTCAGGCACAAAACTAGATCTAAAGAAGGTAGATGATAAAATAGGAAGAAGGAACTACATGTAATTTTCAAATTTTTTAATTTAATGATAGGCAAAATTTTATTTTTTTTCCTCCAGACATAAGATTCTACACATGTTGACTAAGAACCCACCATTTACTAAGAATATGGAGTCTCCCTTATGCAATGAAGCCCTGGTAGATCAACTTTGGAAACTTATGAATTCGGGTAAGAAAATAGTAGCTTTCAAAAAAACAAAATTATGACTGGATTATTTTCATTTTATAACAGGTTTTCAATACTTTTTTCTTTTCTTTTCTTTTTTTTTTTTTTTTAAGTAGGTTACTTAACACATCTACCTTCACAGTGGTGGATGTGATAAGGTTTGCTAAGGATATATTTACTCACTTTGCCCCAAAGGGTAATTGAAGAAACAAAAATATTAATTTATGTGAAAGTGTCTCAGATGTTTAAAGAGCTTTAAATATTAACCTGCAAAGTATTATTGTTGTTTTTATTTCATAAGGTTACAAAGGGTTGAAAATAAGTCTTTTCCCTTTATTCTTAGGAAATTATATATGTATACAAATAAAAATGAAATTTGCTGTTTTTTACTTAGTGTAAGATGGACAGAAAGATGGGACAGAACTGCCCTTTGGTCCCACTTCGTACACATTTTCAAGCTTCTATCTATAAGGACATTATTGAAAAATGGCTTGAAAAAGTGACTTTCAAAGTGAACTTTCTTCTTAGCAGCTTTTTTACTTGATCAGCTTTAATACCAATTACTTCAGAAAATGAAGAGATGATCTTTTTTAGGACTGGATTTGCTACTTAGTGGTTTGTCTTCATATTCTTTCTGATTTGAATAGAGAACATCAATACTGGGTTTTCTCCTTTCTTCTTGAGTGCTGTTGTATTCCAGGTAAGCAGGGTTGGTCCCTAAGTTTCACTGCCAATGAAGACAGAATGGATGCATTAAGAAAGTGATGACTGTTTTGTCAATATACTAGAGGCCTGGTGCACGAAATTCATGTAGGGTAGGGTCCCTAGGCCTGGCCTCCCCACCTCCTCCTTCCCTCGCTCCCTCAGTGCCCTGCCATCGCTGCAGGTAGCCTGCTATGTTCCACGCTGCCCCTTGGTGGTCAGTGCATGTCATAGCAAGTGATCGAACTCCCGCTCTCCGTGGTCAAACTCCCAAGTGGACAATTTGCATATTAGCCTTTTATATTTATAGACTAGAGGCCCGGTGCACAAAAATTTGTGCACTCGGGGGGCAGGGGGAGGGGGGTCCCCCAGCCCGGCCTGTGCCCTCTCGCAGTCTGGGACCCCTCGGGAGATAACGACCTGCTGGCTTAGGCCTGCTCCCGGGTGGCAGAGGGCAGGCCCAATCCCTAAGTGCAGCCCCTGGTCAGGCTCAGAGCAGGGCCGATTGGGGAGTTGGGGCGCCGCCCCGTCATGCACAGAGCAGGGCGGATCGGGAGGTTGCAATGCCACCCTCAGTCACGCTCAGGGTAGGGCCGATTGGGGGGTTGGGGCACCGCCCCCTGTCACACTCAAGGCAGGGTCGATGGGGAGGTTGCGGCGCCACCCCCTGTCACGCACAGAGCAGGGCCAATCAGGGGGTTGGGCGCTGCCCCCTGTCACGCACAGAGCAGGGCCCATCAGGGGGGTTGGGGCGCCACCACTGTCACACTCGGGGCAGGGCCGATGG